TCTGCATGTTAGTAACACAGAACACATTTTTGCCGTAATTCTATCAAACAACAAATTTTTGCCGTGCCCATATCAATTTATATGGCTAAAAGTCCAGAAATCATCAATTAATAAACGATACACAAACCAATGAACTTATGTGGAAATTAAATAAAAAAAAAGTGATTTTAGGTACAAATTAACGGCATTTCGCACTAAACTCTACTATAAGAGTAGAGTTTAAGGCTCCGTTCACTTCACCGATTTGAATTTAAAATTTAAGTTTTATTACAGTAAAAAGTTTTCATAAATAATTATATTTAACTTTTTTGCTACAGTAAAAAACTCTCACATAAAATCACATCTCAACTCAAATTATAAACTCGAATCAACGAAGTGAACGGGCTCAGATCCCCCATCTCACTATCTCAGTTAAAAAAAAAACATAAAAATATCACAATTAAAAATTATGAGGGAGTTTGCTAAATGCTAATGTTTAAAATTAATAGTACAATCAGGCTAGACGTGATCAAAACTGCATGACATTGCCCCCTCACGACCTTTTTATATATTAAAAAAAATAGAAATAGAAAAAGAAAACTGATAAGATCTCGACATCCTATGTATAAGATTTTAGACAAAAATTTGCGGCTTACATTTTGCCACGTAACGGACAAGAGTGTGGACAACATAGTTTTGTTTTTTTTTTTTTGCTGAATAACTAGTGTCGAATAGTTGTTGCAAGCAAATATATTATATATTTCAAGCAAAAAAAATATTATATATAATATGTATGTATATCAATTGAGAAAACTATCATGTCTTGACTTTTATGAAATTTTTTTAATACCAAATGTCGTGAATTTCTATTATTATTCTAAAATAAAACAATATCAAAACGAAAATGCTAATTACTGATTAGAAAATAAACACATAGAAGAGAGGATGAAAATGTTATTTTGAGCGCGTGACTCAAGTGAACGCTACCGTGGGCGCGTGATACGCATTTTTTTTTTTTTTTTTTTTGCAGAATCAAGTAGGCGAATTAATATAACGACGATTCCAAATCCATATTTAAAAACATATACTCCAATATACAACACAAACAGACAAGAGGATCACAGCCCACAAGGACCTGAATGGGAGTTTCAAGGAGGCCGTGGGCCCACCAAATGACAGAATCCGACTGTGGGCCCACCAAAGACCCAAAACAAGATGGCCAATGGGCCGGTAAAAACAATGCAAATGCAAATAAAAAATAGAGAATTTGATTTTTATTTTTTATTCTTAATAAATATTAATTTATGAATGTAATTATTTAATTAAAATATTATAGGGTCTCGTTCATTTTACCGATTTGAGTTTTTAATTTTAGATTTTTACAGTATAAAGCTCTCAGAAAATATTACATATAATTTTTTCTGCTACAGTAAAAAGTTATTAAAAAATGTCACATTTTAACTCGAATTGAAAACTCAAATTCAGGAAATGAACTAGGCCTAAATTAAGAGTAAAGATTACTCAAATGCACGTTACCACTCGTCCTCCATCCGAAAAAGTAGATGCTTACCTACCGGTCTTCGTTCTACGACCTTGTACCGGCTAAACCGGTAACATATTTTGATTTTTTTTTATCTTGCTCCTCAATTTCCAAGAGAAAAGAAAAGTTCCGATAATTCGGCTATGGGGGGTCAGAGACGTCATATGTATTGGCTATTTGCTAACTTCAACGTTGGAAAGCATCGCGTGGGTTCGTTGGTAAAAAAGTCAAGAGTGAAAGCATCACAGTTGGTCATCTTCCATTCTTGACCACTCCTCAAGATGGAAAAAGAACAAAAAAAAAAAAAGGTTATATATTATATAACTTGACCCCAATTCAAATTTACCCCTCTTGAGTTCTCAAATATAAAAAAAAAAAAAAAAATTACCCCTCTTGAGTTGAGACCTGGTGATAAATCCAAAAAAAAAAAAAAAATGAAAAAGTTGCATTTACTTATTTTTTAGGAAAACATTTTACTTATTGATGCACATATAAGCACTGTAAAGGTACACTGTTATAAAAAATAATAATAAGAATACTTTTGTAAAGAATTTTCATCCACTTTTGCGCCTAAAATGCTGGTGGTTTTTTTAAGAAAATTGTTAGTGTTTTTTTTTTTTTTTTAAATATACCGGTATTGTCTGTTTATCAACCGTTAAATTTGTATTATTTTTTTAATATAATTTAATTTTTGACTATATTTAATACAGATTCAACGATTGATAAGTAGGGAACACCGGTGTTCTTAAAAAAAAACTAGAGAAAGTCATTTTTTTAATAAAAATGCTACTATTTTTTTTTTTTTTTTGCTAGAAATGCTACTAGTTACTTGCACTAGAAGTATAAAAATACAATGTTAGAATATACATTCACAGAAGGAAAAAAAAAAGAGAGAGAGAACGCGATAGAAACTTATTGTAAGTTTAATTATCAATATGAATGGAAATGTGCTATTTTAAGTTTGATATTTTCTCAGCTTTCAAGAGAATATATATATATATATTTATCATTGTGACATGAGAATGCGTAATTTTTCTTCTTATTTTAACTTTTTTATCTTACATCGCATCTAATTTTTTAATTACAATAAAAATTTTTTATATAAATTTACATTTTAATTTAAATTAAAAACTTAAATTAACAAATTAAACATGTCTAAATTTAACATTCGATGAAAATCAATAAAGTGGGCCCAGCTGAATAGATTCCCTCCACGCGCGACAAATATCCAACTTTTTCTTGAACGGCACTTTCCAGGAAATAATAATATATTCCTAATTATGTTTTGTATTTGGATTATTCCTCGTCAAAATTACCTTAATCAGGGAATTCTGTATACGGGAACCAAAAAATAAGTTTTTTTACCAAAATAAGAACCCGAAATATTGACCGACTATTATATATCATATTAATTTTTTCACTGGAAATTAAAATTTTTTTTAAAGTACCGAAAATTAAATTTCACATTTTGTTCATTTTTCATTTTTTAAATATTTATAAACATACATACCTTTAAATATTTATAAAAATACTTTAAACAAATATTTATGAAGAAAAAAAAGAAGAATCTTGGTTATAGACTTTAATAGGTCAGGGCCTCGGCCACTATTTTTTGAGGTTATATTATACACTCTTAAATAATAGGATTTTATTAAATTTTTGTTTGATTTATATTCTTAAATTTTTAAAACGAAAATTGAAAAGAATAATATAGCAATAAATGTGTTGAAATTTGAAATTATGCATGAGATAATAATACCTATAAATCCCTATGATATATCTAATATATTTAAATTTAAACCAAAAAAGATAATTTATAATAAAAAAATAGCTTTTTCTATTAGATCAACTTATTGATAAGATCAGTTTTTAATCGTTAAATTTGATTAAAATCACATTTAATTAAAAAAAATATGTATAACATATAATTTTTAATATATATTTAATAATTGAAAAATAAAAAATTACTAATATTTTTTGGTTTTCAATCTTACTTGAGAAACTCACTTATAAAAAATTTGAATTAAAATGTGATTTTATGTAAAAAAATTTATTGTAAAAAAAAATTAAATGTAACTCTTTATAAAATATTTTTATTATAATAAAATTTAAATTTTAAATTGGGATAAATATTTTAAGTTTGATATTTTCTCAGCTTTCAAGAGAATATATATATATATTTATCATTGTGACATGAGAATGTGTAATTTTTCTTCTTATTTTAACTTTTTTATCTTACATCGCATCTAATTTTTTAATTATAATAAAAAAATTTTATATAAATTTATATTTTAATTTAAATTAAAAACTTAAATTAACAAATTAAACATCTAAATTTAACATTCGATGAAAATCAATAAAGTGGGCCCAGCTGAATAGATTCCCTCCACGCGCGACAAATATCCAACTTTTTCTTGAACGGCACTTTCCAGGAAATAATAATATATTCCTAATTATGTTTTGTATTTGGATTATTCCTCGTCAAAATTACCTTAATCAGGGAATTCTGTATACGGGAACCAAAAAATAAGTTTTTTTACCAAAATAAGAACCCGAAATATTGACCGACTATTATATATCATATTAATTTTTTCACTGGAAATTAAAATTTTTTTTAAAGTACCGAAAATTAAATTTCACATTTTGTTCATTTTTCATTTTTTAAATATTTATAAACATACATACCTTTAAATATTTATAAAAATACTTTAAACAAATATTTATGAAGAAAAAAAAGAAGAATCTTGGTTATAGACTTTAATAGGTCAGGGCCTCGGCCACTATTTTTTGAGGTTATATTATACACTCTTAAATAATAGGATTTTATTAAATTTTTGTTTGATTTATATTCTTAAATTTTTAAAACGAAAATTGAAAAGAATAATATAGCAATAAATGTGTTGAAATTTGAAATTATGCATGAGATAATAATACCTATAAATCCCTATGATATATCTAATATATTTAAATTTAAACCAAAAAAGATAATTTATAATAAAAAATAGCTTTTTCTATTAGATCAACTTATTGATAAGATCAGTTTTTAATCGTTAAATTTTATTAAAATCACATTTAATTAAAAAAATATGTATAACATATAATTTTTAATATATATTTAATAATTGAAAAATAAAAAATTACTAATATTTATAAGTTTTCAATCTTACTTGAGAAACTCACTTATAAAAAATTTGAGTTAAAATGTAATTTTATGTAAAAAAATTTATTGTAAAAAAAAATTAAATGTAACTCTTTATAAAATATTTTTATTATAATAAAACTTAAATTTTAAATTGGGATAAGTTATATTATAATATTTGATTATAATACTATCCGATGTCACTGAACCTGACGTCACAAAGCACACCAAAGTAAAAAAGTCTCTCGAAAACAAGAAAAACATTTTTTTTTCTTAAAAAAAAAAGATATATTTTTTCCTACCGTGTTCTGAAACACTCAGAGCCGCACTATAAAAATCAATCACATCCCCCTCTCTGTTACCCATAATCTCTATAAAGATCAGAGGAGAGAGAAAGTGAGTGTTTTTCTGCCTCTTGTTCTTCTTCTTAAAAGCTTTCCGCGAGTGCAAAAAATGTCGCTGCTTTCGGATCTCGTGAACCTCAATCTCTCAGACACCACCGAGAAGATCATCGCCGAGTACATATGGTTATCATCTTCTTTTTCCCCATCTTTTTTTCTCTCTCTAATTTTCTCGGTTTGCGTGCGTTTACGGACGTGATCCTGTGCACCTAGTTGCCGTGATCCGTGGCTGTGCTTGTGCTGACTGTTCGTGTTCGGTTCTTTTCATTGTCTCTGTTTGGTTTCCGAGAAAATGAAACGAAAGATAAATGGAAGTTTTATTTTTTTTTTCTTTATATATATGTATTTTTTCACTTTCTTGTCGGCATGCTCTACTCTCTAATGAAATCCTTCTTTTGATGGTATCAGTTACATTTAGCTTATTTAATATATATATTTTTTGTAATAATCTGGGAAGCTTTCGGAAATTTTCATTGTCATGCTTTATCGTTTTGTGTTCATTTTTAATCAATCATTAGTTTTTTAAGTACCCCAAATCGAAATGTATATTTGTTTAGCCTCATATATATTCGTTATTTTTTCAAAAGAAACATATGTTTTTAGTGGATTTTTTTTCCCTTTTTTATGATTCCTGAGCGATTCTTGGTTATCCGTTTTCCTGTTGTTTGTTTACCGATCTGTGAATTGCTGTTTTGCTTTTAGCGTTAAGGATCATCACTTCATTTTATTTTATTTACATTTTCCTAATGGGTCTATCCATGGAGTATAAGTTCCCTGTGTTGTGTTTGTATTCTTGAACAGGATCGGCGGATCTGGTTTGGACGTAAGAAGCAAAGCAAGGGTAAGAAATTCTCCATTTATATCTATTTATTTGTTTTTTTAGGTTGTTTAATCATTCAAATAATCATGTAAATTTTTTTTTGGGCATTTGAAGACTCTTCCTGGACCAGTTAGTGATCCTTCAAAGCTTCCCAAGTGGAACTATGATGGTTCCAGCACAGGGCAAGCGCCTGGAGAAGACAGTGAAGTGATTTTATAGTAAGATTTCTTTCAAATATTTTTTTTCCCAGTATTTTTAACCATTTGTGTACCATCTTCACTCAATAAGAGTAGTTTGTAACTATATTATTATTGCTATTGTTATTGTTTAGCCCTCAAGCAATTTTCAAGGATCCATTTAGGGGAGGTAACAATATACTGGTAAGTTAGCTTTTGTGATCTCGGACTCCTTCTCGTGTGCCCAATTCATCGACTTTATCTGATTCTGATGTTATTGTTGCTAATCCGTATTTTGATGTTCTCTGTGATATTTGTGTTTGATGATATGGTCTTATTAGGTCATATGTGATGCCTACACTCCAGCAGGAGAACCTATTCCAACAAACAAGAGACATGCTGCTGCAAAGATATTTAGCCACCCTGATGTTGCTGCTGAAGAGCCCTGGTATTTTCTTCTGCTCTGGATGTTCTCTGTTTCATAATTTTTCGTTTTGCTAATTGTTAGTGATGTTTGAGCAATGTGATACTGGACACAGGTATGGTATTGAGCAGGAGTACACCTTGCTGCAGAAAGATGTCAAGTGGCCCCTTGGGTGGCCCGTTGGTGGTTACCCTGGCCCTCAGGTGATTGAGCCTGTCCTCCTTTTAAGGCTTGAAATCTTGGTTTTACCACTTTGTTTAAATCATGCTTTATGTTGTTGCCTTGTTTACTATTAAGATTCGTTTGGCTCCTATTGTGGGCATAGAACAGGTTGTATAAAGGGCGCATGATATTGTGTTGTTGATCTTACCCTTTACACTTGAATGCCCTGTCTCCTCCTTTCTTATCAAACCCTCCAATATAAAATTGTTTTAAGCAGCTTTACTTTATTGATTACTAATTTGGTTGATATGATCTTCTTAAATAAGTTTCATACAGTTGAAAAGTTATGAGATCCACTTAAAAGGAATTTTTCTTTCCTTTATGTTCCTATATGTCAATAGGTCTCTGTCGACATATCATCGATAATTCTGTTGCGTTTGTGTTGGTTTGTTGGAGAATATCACTTCTTAGTTCTTACCATTGTTCTGATGAGGATTTTTGGCTATTGCTCAATAGGGACCATACTACTGTGGTGTTGGTGCTGACAAGGCCTTTGGGCGTGACATTGTTGACGCTCACTACAAGGCTTGCTTATATGCTGGCGTCAACATTAGTGGCATTAATGGAGAAGTGATGCCAGGACAGGTAGATGATCATAAACATTGTATATCTGATATAACCCCATCTCCTTTTGAAATTTACTTTCTTATGGATTCTGTTTCTGTGATATTGTAAAACCATTCATTTTGTGCTTCTATATTCTAGTGGGAATTCCAAGTTGGTCCTTCAGTTGGTATCTCTGCTGGAGATGAATTGTGGGTTGCTCGGTACATTCTTGAGGTAGCTTAACATTCTCAATAAGAACTATTGCTTCTGATACTTTTTTCTTTGTTCAATTGAATTCATTTTTTTTTCTGTACTGACAGAGGATAACAGAGATTGCTGGAGTGGCCGTCTCTTTTGATCCAAAGCCAATCCAGGTAAAACGATTTCCTCTGTTTTGGAGCCGTCATATTTTTTCTTTTTTCCCCCCCTTCTGTACAATTAAATGCGTATCTATATGCAATATTTGATAACTGTTATGGCGAGTGATTTGGTAATCTTTTACTTTTTTTTCCCCCTTCCTTTTTACCTTTACCGCCAGGGTGATTGGAATGGAGCTGGTGCTCACACAAATTACAGGTTTTGTTTCTTACGTCTTTGTTTTCAACAGCATATTATGGATTTCTTCATCTCTTCAGCGATATAGTATGGTTGTCATTCTTTATTAAAGATGAAATTTACAATGTTTGTTTCAGTACCAAGTCCATGAGAAATGATGGAGGATATGATGTCATCAAGAAAGCCATTGAGAAGCTGGGGTTGAGGCACAAAGAACACATTGCTGCATATGGAGAAGGCAATGAGCGTCGTCTAACTGGGCGACATGAAACTGCTGACATCAACACCTTCTTATGGGTAAAGATAAAATATTATCTTCATTTTTTTCACACCTATATATGTTTACATATATTTCTCCTCGCATAGCTCTCGCTGTATAAGTTTGACCACTCTTATGCTTAATTTGTCCGTCAGAGTTTAACAGCTAGTGCATTCTAATATGGTACATTGAAGATTCAAACATCTTGCATTCCATTTATTGTTTGCAGGGTGTTGCAAACCGTGGTGCATCTATTCGAGTTGGCCGAGACACAGAGAAAGCAGGCAAAGGCTACTTTGAAGACAGGAGACCTGCTTCAAACATGGACCCGTATGTCGTTACTTCCATGATTGTGGAGACCACCATCCTGTGGAAGCCATAAATTGCCCTGGTGGTTCCATTCACCTTTGCTACATGTCTTTCGAATGTTTGGGAAGGAAAAATTCGTAGGATCCATTATTCAGTTGAATTTATGCTTAAAAGCGCACTAGATTAGCTTCCGTATTTTTCCTGACATTTTCATTGTGCCTCTTCCCAAGTAGCGAGGTGACTTTATTGTTTCCTTGTCACATGATTCTGTCATTTGTGTTGAATAATGGCCTAATAAAACGTTATGAAATGGCTGGCTTCTGCTTTTGGGGAATGATGAAGTATGAGTTTAGTTCATCATCTACTATATTTGCTTGAATGAAATGTGGTCAAATCTTTGTTTCTTTAGAAATGAATTGATGGTCTATATTTTGAGGGCATGTTTACACATTCGAATGCAAGGATAACAGGAGTGTTTTCTCATTCCTTCCATTCCTGTGTTCACAGTTTATTTACTAAAGTAGAAATGCAGTTGTAATTTCTAATGTTCAAGTTGACACTTGAATCAGATGTTTGATTTCCTTATCTTGTTCTGTTCATTTCAAACTTCTTGCCCTGCCAATTACAATGTATGCCACGAGTGTGTAAAGAAGGAAAGGCTAAACTTCATGAGATTTATGAAAACTTTTTTTCCCCCTGACCCAATACTAATGTTGAAGCAAAGAACAGTTTGATGCACTACCAAAAAGTTCAATGAAACTAACGTCTGGCAATATTTGAGGTTTGGTTCAAATCATTGATGATATTTTGAACCCAAAACAATCTAAGAATTATGAGTTTACACCCCTCTTTATTTTCAATATTTTTGAAACAAAAACTTATTTTAAACTTTTTCATTTTGAAACACAAAAGATCAAACCACTACGTTTTGAACCTATTTGTCAAAGGGGAAGGAGTTAATAATAGGGGTTGGAGTTAATAATAAGTCAAGATGTATGCCATAGTATTGACAGCAACCATGAGGAAGCTGGCTCAGCCCTTGCTTGTCTCATTATTGGTTTACCATTTGGAATCGTGCAAGGAATTCAAACTCTTGTCGTTTTTTGTACAAGTCTTAAAGCAAGGAGTTTGGTTTTTCTTCTTTATTCTGCTCAAGCTTCTACATTACCCTACCATCCAACTTGCTTCAACTGTTTAGTCTCACTTTCAATCATGATTGATAACGATGCCTTCAATCAACTGAATCTGTTCTCCTATAATGTTCTTGCTAGATGATCCACAACCAAGATTCCAACTTTGTGGTTGATGTTATTCATGGCTGATGCCTTATAAGTCAAAAGAAATTATATGACGTTTTGTTTTATTTTTCACGTTTTTCGAAGTTAAAAAATAAAAACGCAATTTGAAAACGCGTTTAGCACAAAACTTTTTAAAAAACAAAAACAAAAACGTTTTTGTCTTTTTCTAAAAAATTGAAAACGGTATAATACCGTTTTCATTTTCTTCTTTTCCTTTTCTCACTCACGGAAGAGGGGAGAGTACAAACAGCCATTGGAGCTTGACTGGAACAAGCTTCTCTATGAAGGAGACGACGGCCGCTTCTGCAATTTTCATGTATAATCATGTTTATTTAATATTTTTATTTAATATTTTTATTTAATATATTATTATTTTAAATATTATTACATGTTTTCAAAAATTAAATCATCGTGCGTTTCAATTTTTTTTTTAAACTGAAATCAATTTCTAAATAAAACTACCAAACGCATTTTCAAAAATAATTCAAAAATGAAAATGAAAACGTTTTCATTTCCATTTTCATACAAAAAAATAAAATTATTTTGGAACCAATTCCAAACGCACCCAATATTTTGCTGGATGATAAATAATCTTTTTAAGGGTCTTCTACGGTAAACCGGCCTATTAATAAGGTCAGTTTTTTACCGTTTAATCTGGTCAAAATTATGTTAGATTAAAAAAGTATGCAGAATAAATAATTTTTAGTACAAATCTTATAATTAAAAAATAAAAAATTACCGATAATTTATTTATTTCAATCATACTAGAAAAACTCTCGTCTTTCTATCCATTTCGGCCCGGAATTGCACCCAACAATTCCCATATCATAACAAATATTTCGTTGGATTCCCTTTCGGCCACGGAATTGCACCCAACAATTCCCAAAAATACGTAAGACACAAACACACGTACTTGATGTAGCATTTTGTGGGATGGTATTCTAATTTTGACCTTTTCGGCAACAGAATTGCATTCCATATTCCAAATAAGTGAACAACCATCGTCCATACACAGCCAATGCTCAAATCAGGGCAAGACTAGCTACATAAGCACACCAAGTTGCGTATCAAAATTCAAAGGTACTAGTTTCTTTTTCTTTTTGGTGTCTAATTAATTGATTTGCTGGAGTTTAATTATCAAATCTAGCTATAGCTATTTTTAGTCCAGTAATTAGAAACTGATTTGTTAATGCTTTGATAGCTATAATTTTAGTAACTTTACTTGAAAATTACGAATGAGCTGAACCAAAAATGTGATGTTGATGAAATCCTGATCCTAATTGGTCACTGCAGCTGATATAGACTATGTATATATATATATATATATATATGCATAATTGGAATTTGGTTTGGTATATTTAGAAATAGCATTATATGCTGGCTGTGGACTAAGCTCCGTACTTAATTTAACCAACTAATCAGGATTAATAGAAAGCAATAAAACTCTCTAATTGAAGGCCAAGACGTTTGACATTTCAAGTAAAGAGCAATCCTCTAGTATGATTACAATTTCCGTTGTTTAAAAAGGAAAAATTAAAGTTAGCCAAGAATTTTTTTTTTTTTTTACTGAAGTTAGCCAAGGAAAGTTAATGCGACATTAATATCAAAATACTGTACTGACTATTGAGATAGCTATAGCCGAAAAGAAATGAAAAAAAAAAGGTTGGGAAAAGTCTACTTCTAGATGCTTCATATTGATGTGGAATAGAGCTTTTTCCACGCCACGACATCCGAACTTTGATAGGTGTCGTAGGTAGACTTTTAGGCGCTGTTTGATAGGAAGGACGAAGAGAATTAGAGTGATAGATAGAGTTTTAATAAATTTTTATGTTGTTTAGTAACAAAAATAAAGAGTTAAAATGGTAAATGATAATTATTTATTTAATTATTATATAATTTATCTTATTATTTATTAATAATTTATTTTGAAGGGTAAAAAATTATATTTTTTTTAATTTAAGATGAATTAGTTGAATCCTCATCTCCATCCTTTTCTCCTAATTAAATAAGATTCGCTCTCTCCTTGAATCCTCATCTCCATCCTTTTCTCCTAATTAAATAAGATTCGCTCTCTCTCCATCTCCCCTCTCTCTCTCTCCATCTCCCCTCTCTCTCTCTCCATCTCCCCTCTCTCTCCCCATCTCCCACTCCCTCCTACCAAACATACACCTTTCAAATGGAAGAGGTCGTGAATTAACGTTGAATGACAACAACGCAAGTGGTGGGAAGTTTGTGGATTTTGTTCCTGAGCAAATATTTCGCCATGACTCAAGTTTGTTTTGTTGGGCCAAATTGTTAATTTTGTCGATTTTGAGAATCGGGTTTGTAAGGTGGAAAGGTTAAGGGAAGGAGTTATGGGAGGGGTGTCAATCATTGAGAGCCCACCGAAATCCAAAATCAGTCCCTTTAAGGGATTGTCCCAAAGAAAATATGCAAAAACATTTATCTCTATTTTACTCTTCTCTTTGCTAATAAAAATGTATATTTTTTCCCCAACAAAAGTGTCAAAAATATTTATGAGATATGTTCATTTCATGATTAAGTTATATTATTACAGTTTTTTTTCTATAAAAATTTAAATTTAAATTTTTTATTACAATATTTTTCTCTCACATATATAATTTAAATCATAACTCAAATAACTCAAATTATGTAAAAAAAGATTTTAAACACAAAAAATATCAATTAATTGAAGGACCACCAATAAAATATTATCATCAGTGACAAAGGTGTTTAGGGCCAAGAGACCGACAGCCGCCCCCATTGACTTTTCATTTTTTTTTATTTTACTTTTCATGCTTTTTTTTTTTTTTTTGATGAAAGTGTATGTCCCACTTAATACAAGGTTGATGCCGCTTTATGATGACAAATAGCTTTGCCAAAAGTCACATCATGTTTTTCCTTTCACAGTCTTCCTCCCTCCTAGTCTATCCCTCTTAATCTTCTTATATTCATTCTACTAGACATAATCAAATTACGAATATTGTCATGAGCTCTTCGAGAAGTTGGAGAAAATAACTGGTAGAGAACATTGTTGACTCTTGTCATTTACAACTTGGTTGGGCCGCTAATCCTAGGCTAGAAGAATCGTTAAAAGGGTGTTTTTTAAGTGGACATTTAATTCACAAATTTAAAATTATTATCAATTTATGTGTGTTTTTTATGAGAAAAAATATTGTAACGAGTTACGAATAATGACACGAATTATCCTACCAAATACCATCTAAAACTATAGAAGCAAAGGTGCAAAACCTCTAAGGAGGTAAGGCGATCGCACAGGAGATGTCATTGATGAATAATAAAAGAGATATCAACTACAAATACTATATAGTAACTTTATAAAGCGACACGCATGGTAAAAACATCAATCAATTGCACAAACGACAATAATTTCGCAGAGAAACGACAATTACTTCTATATATGACAACGAAATAGAAAAGAAAAATCTTGAGGGACAAACGACAAAAAAAATATATAAACGGTATCAACTGACAATAGTATTAGTAAACGACGTCAATAGAAGAACCGACATATACAAAAGAAACGTGACCGTACGACAAAAACTGCAGGAAGTCAGGAACTGACAATAATTTTTAACGAACGACATGAACTCGAAGGCAAGTAAGAAGCAACCTAAAGAAACGATAGACGCACTTCAACAATCAACAAGCGCATAGATTGCTTCTGCGAACTTTAAACCCGGAATTTTGACGAGTGCATATCTTTTGACAATTTACCAAACATAAGATATATTTTTTCATTTTATTTTTTTTGGTTTTTCATTTTATTTTTAAGGTCAATATTGAATTGAAACAAAGCACACTTATGGAAATTTTCCTAAATCAGTACTCTCTCTCTCTCTTAGCTTTTATTTTTTCCTAAAAAAATCTGTACTGGTTTGATGGCTTAACGCATTCGCCCAATAGATTTTGTATTTAAATAGGATACGTAGCACCTCTAAAGCACATTATTGGGAAAATAATTAACACGCGTAAGACGAATAGACATACATATATATTCAAGTCAAGCACATCCGAATGCTTGGGATTATACCCCACGTACACTTATATAGTTAGAACATTCTGTGAATTGAGATTTGACTGATGCGTTCCTCATTTAAAAGGTAGTTGGACTGATGCGTTCTTCATTTAAAATGCAGGATCTTTTTTATAGGACGTTCAACAAACATTCTTATTAGCGTTTGAGAAACGCTCAAAAAAAATATATTAAGAACAAATATTTTTATTAGTGTTTGAGAAACGCTCAAAGAAAATATATTAAGGTAGGACCTTTTTATAGGACGTTCAACGAACATTTTTATCAGGAGAAACGCTCAAAAAAAATATATTAATAATGATATTGCCCTCTCTTTGAATTTTTTAATCTACCCAAGAAAAAAAAACACATCCTAAGAAAATACCATATTGATAAGAACATAATTACAAAAAAAAAAAAAAAAAAATGAGCCGTTAGTTAATAGAATGATTGTCCATTTCAAACTGTCGTTTAACGTTAGGACGCAATATACATACACTGATCAATAATTAGAAATGAAGATCGTGACGCGATGATGTTCCTCTTTGAACATTGCTAATTAATACATGCAAAGGAGAGAAGGACAAATCTCTCCTTGGAGTACCACAAGTTTCACCTAACATATTTTCCCTTGGAAACGATGTTGTCTATATCAGTTTAACAATTTTATTATTCAATTCTTGACAAACACCTCAATGAATATTAATTGACCCAAATTTGTTGCCATTAAACAAAATGTACATGTGACATCGGTACGGGCTCTGACGCACAAGTAAAATTAAATGGCATAAAAATAATATTTATTTCATTATAATAGCCTTGCATATTCTTTAAACGTGGAATTATTGTTTTCACAAAATTCTTATATACCATTATTATCATTCATGTGCCATCTAGCTACCCTTTCCTCTTAGCTAACTAGCTGCTCCATGGAGAAGAGAAGGCCAAGAGGGAGCACCGATGAGTCGGCGGTGGTCAAGGCGGCAGCGTGGGCGTGGCACCAGCACGGATCAGGATCGGGATCGGATGGAACCCCGGCCCGTGAGTATGTCGCGGCAAGACCTCGTCACGTCCCTAGGCCGTCTCGCTACAAGCTAGAAGCCATGAGATCAAAAACCAAGGAAGGAGTGCTGCCTCTAATTGATGATAATTTTAAACCGCAAAGCAATAAAGTGTCTCTCCTTGATGCTTATGAGATTCAAAGTATTTCTCGGCGCCTAGATTCTCTAATAGATCAATACTCTATCGGTGATCATGGTGATGATCACAAAGATAACCAAGATTTTCGTCTAAAAGATGCATTAATCTCGGATGTTGATGATGATCATAGTATGGTGATGGAGAAGAACAAGAAGAAGAAGAATTTGAGGAAAATGGTCAATTTGAGAGGGTTTTGGATAAGGCATGCAGCGGCCATGTGCGGCACAAGGGAAGGCGTGGTGGAGACGGCGGCGAAGAGTTTTTGGAACGGGCGGCGGCGGCAGACGGAGGACAGCCGACGTGTGCTGCCGGTTGTTATGGCGGCGACATGTCGACCGTGGAATAATATTATGCATTCACGCGGGTGATAGTGGTGATGATCATGATGAAGAGTACAAATTCAATATTGGTATATTAATTTTGGTCCTTGAAATATCGGTGGAGGTTGTTGGACGTTCATCAACTGTATTAATTTCTTCTAGTGTGTGGAGATCAAATAACTTGTGCTGCCGACTTGATCTTTTACTTTTATTATTATTATTATTATTATTTATTTTTTCTCTTTTTGGAATTTTGGGTGAGAAATTTGAACACTTAATCCAAATTTTGATGTGTATGTATCCCATATATATATATATATATAATTCAATTGATATTCTTTTTGGAAGTGCACTAATTCATAGTTCCATACATAATTACATATCCTTTTTATTTATTTATTTATTTATTTTGTCAATGATCAAAATGTTACCCTCATTCTTTGCAAACACCGTGTTACTAATGGTTCGTTTAGTTGGTAAATTCGTATCATGATTTGAATTATGATTCTTAATTTATTACAGTATTTTTTCTCATAAAAAATACACGTAAATTAAAAATAATTATGAATCATAATTCTAAATTTATAAATTAAACGTCCGCTAATAGATCAGTATTATCTTTCTGGTTTTGCCATTTTACTATTTTAGGGAAGTGAGAGCGAGAGAGTTCCATGAAAGGAGGGCGGAGACAGAGGAGAGAATGAGAGAGAGAGAGAGAAGATAAACAGAGAGAGGAAAAAGGGATACTAGTGCACTGATGATCAATAATCATTATTTGATAATATATTGAGCAAATTATTCTCTGAGAAATTACCGATTGCAGTGGTCACTGATTGACATATATATTCGGTAGGAAACTGATTTGGTAGTAATTGAAATTCATTATTGATATTGGTTAGCTTGTGGTGAGGAGGATGTTTGTTTTATGTATTCTTTTTTTATTCTAAATTATGATTTATAATTTTTTATAGTGTTTTTCTCTTATAAAAAATACACGTAAAACGAGAATAATTCTGAATTATAATTATGAATCAAACGTCCACTAAGTATATTAATAGATAATTTACTCAATATTTTTTTTTTAAAAGAAAACATTTTTTAATTTAGTAAAACTAATATTATGCTTAAGAAAGACCATCTTTTACTGTTTTACACATTCCATTTAAGAAATTAAAAAGTTGAAGTAAAAAAAGGAGAATCGCCCCAAACATATCGGTTTTAAGCAATTGATTTGTAGAATTTTTAATTTTTATACTTTTTCACAACTTGTTAAATAGTTGTAATGTGCGCTATTTTTATGTTTTGGTTTGGATTCGGATTAAATTTGAATAAATTGATTGATTTGTATTGGGTTTGAAATTGAATTGATATCAGGTCCTCACCTGATGCAACTGTTGGTTTTCCGTTTGTTAATTTAAAAGTTAACAAACGGAACACGATCCTTTTATTTAGGAGTAACAATTCGTGTCACGTGTCGTGTTTTGATCATTTTTTTCTAAATTTATTGTCAATCTAAACACGACTCGTGACACGAAATTTTTTAAAAACTGCAACACAAACACGACACAAACACTTTACGAGTTGGTACGACACGACACGAAAATGACCCGTGACACGAAATTGACCTGTGAATCCGAAATTGACATGAAAATTATATATTTTTATTTAGTTTTTTACATATTAGAAATAACTTAAAATTCATAACACACTAAAATACAATCACATCTATTGAAATTAAACAAATAATAGTATAAGATTTTGAGTATAACTATCATGATATTATAAGTTCATAATAAAATAAAAAATATATGTATTTTTTAGTTTTTTACGAGTTTCGTGTTGCGTTTGGGTTAGACGGGTCCAACTCAAAATTGACCCGTGTTTTCGTGTCAATTTCAGGTCGACCTAATTCTGATCCGAACATCTTTTTTCTCAACTCTAACCCGCGAAATTCGTGTCATTTTCGAGTTGTGTTGTCGTTTCTTTACCCATATTGCCGTCCCTACTTTCGTTAGTTTGGTGTTAAATATTTGATAGAATCTATAAAAATGATGGATTAAAATTGGAAACACGTAAAGTTTAGAGACTAAAACAATACAAAAAATTAAAATTTAATTTCCACACATAGACCTAAAATTTTAGTTGTTTTTAAATTTAGACTCTATTTTACACATATTATATTAAATTTTAACATCTAGTTGATGGAATGATTGATATTGAAATAAAATAAAACTTTGATGACCATTTGTGCAACGTTTAAAAAGTTAGAAACTAAAATGAAATTAAAAAGTTAGAAACTAAAATGAAATTAACTGTAAACTTCAGGGACCATTTGTGAAATTATGGAGATAGTAACACGACACATCGTAGCAGCAACAAGTTTACGGACCTGTTTAGTTCGTTGATTTGAGTTGAGATGTGATTTTATGTGAGAGATTTTTACTATCGTAAAAAAGTTAGATGTGACTGTTTCTGAGAGCTTTTTACTGTAGTAAAACTCGAATTCTAAACTCAAATCGGTAAAATAAACTCAATGGGAGGTAAAATGTGAACTTTAAGGGCCTGCTCTTTTGGAGTGTGACTTCAGTGTTGTTTTTGAGTTGAATTTGAGTTATAACTTGAGTTGAAGTTGTAACTTGTGTTTGTGTTTGGTTGTGTACATTTGAGTTATGTTTTAAGATAAGCATCTTTTTTTGAGTTTGTGTTTGAGTGAGTCAAAACTTAGGACTTGTTCTTTTGAAATTTAACTTGAGTATAATTTTTGAGTTATAACTTGAGTTGAACTTGTAACTTGAGTTTGTGTTTGGTTGTGTACATTTGAGTTATAGTTTGAGATAAGAATCTTTTTGAGTTTGTGTTTGAGTGAGTCAAAACTTGAATTTGTATTTAGATAGTATTTTAATAAAAACTTAATGGTGGTGAAAAATTTTAATAGGGTATATGAGTGGAGTTTTATTCATCTTTTTATTGTCAACGCATAGAAAAAAATCATCTCAATCAAAATTAAAATGAAAAAGTTATAGCATTTTTAAGAATAGCAAAAATATTGTTCATTAATTTGAGTTCGAGTTTCTGAACTCGAGCTGAAGGAGAAACTTGAACTCGAGTTTTAGTTCTAAACTCGAGTTTGAACTCAAATTTGAACTCGAGTTTAAACTTAAAAGAACATGAACTCAAATAAAGTTGTAACTCGAGTTGCATTTTTTTGAGTTTTTCACTAAAAAAAACAAGCCCTTAAATTTGTATTTAGATAGTATTTTAATAAAAACTTAATGGTGGTGAAAAATTTTAATAGGGTATATGAGTGGAGTTTTATTCATCTTTTTATTGTCAACGCATAGAAAAAAATTATCTCAATCAGGATTAAAACGAAAAAGTTATAGTATTTTTAAGAATAGAAAAAATACTGTTCATTAATTTGAATTTGAGTTTCTGAACTCGAGTTGAAAGAGACACTTGAACTCGAGTTTTAGTCCCAAACTCGAGTTTAAACTTAAAAAAATATGAACTTAAATAAAATTAAAACTTGAGTTGTCTTTTTTAAAATTTTTTGAGCGGCCGAACACATCCTAAATATTTAGATGAAAACTTTCAAAATCTTGAAAATTTAAAGGGCAAAAATGTCTTAAAAAAAAAAAAATAGAACACTTGCCTAACTGAAGACGGAAGATGGTTTAAAGCTTACAGAGGCCGAAGAGGGTTTTAAGGCACAAATAAAATCTATCAATCAAATCTCTCTGTAAGCAAGTAATTGTCGTTTCCATAGACAGATGTTTTTTCGCCAAGCAGCATTCAGTTTTTTCAGAAGCCGATTTGGCTTCCAATTGTCTCAACTCTCCCGTAAATTCACGCTTCCATTTTGTTTATTTATGAGAATTTTTCACACCTAATTTGTGAAGCATTTTGGTCAATCCAACAATGGAAGCAGCAAATTAGTATGAAGGGAAAAGAAAAAAGAAAAATTATTGTTCAGTTTCTCAAAAGCTTGATAATTTTGTTGCAGAAAAGAAGAAACTTTGTTATGGAGGTGGTTTTGAGGATTATAATCGGAGTTTCAATCACGGTGATCCTCATCGTCTGTGGCCTTTTCTCTCTGCAAATGCAGGTAAAATACTTTTTTTTTTTGCTCTCTCGTCCACAATAGCACTTTTGGGTTCTTAAGGTAGATTTTTTTAAATTTTTTTTAAAATTCTGCTATATATACATATTTCGTAAAATGGTTTTGATTGTTTCTTGACTTTTGCGATCATATCTCGTAGTAATTTTCTGCGCAATTAGTAGGTTTTTTTTTTTTTTTTTTTGGTTATTGAGTCATATGTAATTCCTGAAAGTGCTGTAAATTATACAGTTGCCCCATAAAATGCTCCTGAACTTCAATTTGAATTTTGATAATTCATTATGCTAAAAAAATGATAACTCTTAATGTTGAAGTAACAGGGTTAGTGTTTATATCCAGGAATCAACCTTAATACCGCGACATTGTCGCAGTTTGAGGAGAATAAGGGGGTGTTTGGGAGATGTATTCAAACTTCTGATTCTGATTTTATTACAATCTTTTTCGTCTCACAAAGAATTTGACTTTGAAAATTTCTTCTCTTACAAAGTTCCCGTCAATAACTCAGAATCACTGACTTAAACGCGTGAAGCAAACGGACCCTAAGCTTTTCTCACTGCAATGGAAACCTTAGCTCAAATTTTAGCTTATGCTATAAGTAGTTTGTGTCAATTGTAGGCTAGGTATTAAACTACATATTAAAATTTGAGATTCTTGGTTTTAGGATGGTTTTTCGTTATTCTTTTGATATTTCCATATATGTTTCTATGATTTCAGGTTGGTTGATACACTTTCTCGTCGATCTTTCGTTTGTAGTTATAATTTTTATTTAGGAGAGTATAATTGCGTTGTTGACTATTGAGGGAAAGGTTGTTATATTAAGGAATATGTGAATATGACTTTTGGAAAATATCACATAGTTCATCTTACAATTTATTGTTATATGATTAAATCGTGAATTCATATAGGCTTTGAGTGCTTTTATTGAATTGAATTCGGAACTTCTAAAGTCGTAAAGATTGTAGGATTGTTGGACATTTGAATTGCGAAATGAATGAGCCACGATTTCCAGTTGGCAAAGCAAATAGCTAGTCACACCAATGTGTTAGGTGGTAAATCTTATGGGGAGTGTGCAGCCCATTCTTGTTGAACTTCAAAGTTGCAATGTGGGTTGATACTATCCTCATATGTATGCAGCAATAGTTCTGGGAATAAATACGAGCCCCATCTTAGCTAAAGAAGTGTCAACAGAAGAAAATCTTAAAAATGTCGCAGAAGGGGCTGACATAATTGGACTACAAAAAATTGAGGATGGTTCTGTTGTATCCAATATACATACATCTAAGTGGAGGGTTTTTACGGATCATGCTAGAGATTTATTTCTGCAGGCAAGCGTCTATTGTCCATGTGCATGCCTTTTTTGTTTTGTTTTTGTTTGAATTCTTTGATTTTTATTCTAGTTTTTTCCTCTTCTTCTTATATAGGGAAAACTGAAAGAAGCTGAAGGGTTCTTCCTTTCTGCGCTGCAAGAAGCAAAAGAAGGATTTGGGGAGAGAGATCCACATGTCGCATCAGCATGCAACAATCTGGTATTCTTGTCACTATATGCTCATCGAATTTAGTAATGGAACTGGTCACCTTGTTCATTTCTCCTAAATATTGTTATGATATTGCAGAACCAGAGGAATACACATAAGCATGGTACTTTCAAACAAGCAGAAATGGTTTTATTTACTAAAAAAAAAGTTTCCTTTTCAGGTGCAAAATATGTTAAGAATTGGTCAAATAAATAAACCATTCGTTGTGGTTTATTAAGTTTATATTCCATTTTTTGTTTGTCTCATGATTTTTTTTTTTTTTTTTTTTGATGTCTCGTGATTTCTATCCACATCTAAGAAGTAATGTTAAGAGGAAAAAAAAAAGACACTCACTCAGTACTGGTTATGTAGCTCCTCAGATTCCGTGTTGGACTGTACCCTTCTAAAATAAAAGTGTCTGCTAGATTTCTAGTCAGAAAGGCCTCTTATACATATGTATATATTTTGGTAGAAAGTGTCTTTTTATTGTCAATTGGCCGTAGATTTCTGACACAGACTTTTGTTAGTATTAGATGGGTTATTCCTTGCACATGCGAGTCTCTTTTATTTTAGGGGATTTGGGCAGTGGAGTTTGTGAGAGTACTAAATTAATCTGGCATTGGTTACCCTTCTCGGCGTTACGCTGGCACTGGAGTTAGTATCTTTCATTTTAACTTTTAACGATAGTTGAACAGAGTGATTTATAATTTAGACTTTTTCTTTTTTATTTTTATTATTTATTTTTAAACCTTTCCTACTGAAGGGCATTTGCTTATTTTACTTGTGTGGTGTATTGTCTGTGTTATGGAGTTGTCGTATCCTCTTTCTATTTCTTCAGGCAGAGCTGTATAGAGTGATTAAAGCATTTGATAAGGCAGAGCCGTTGTATTTGGAGGCTATTAATATACTAGAGGAAACAGTTGGTCGTGACGATATACGGTATGATACAATTACAATAAAGTGTAAAAGAGAGAGAGCTTCACTTCTTTATGATACTAAAGTGGCTTTCCATGTATTGTATTTGAATTGTTGCTGGCTACTTTTAAACCAGATCCTGTTGTTACTTTTAAAACATTTCGTAAAAAAATGGGTTGTATTAAGGAAAAAAAGGGGAAGACAAAAGTATGCTAGTAATAACTTTGCTTCGTCAGAGGATTTTGCTTTTTATGTTCTAGAGAACTAAGCAATTGTCTCCATTTACATGCTGTATTGTTAATTTCTTGTCCTGGCACTGTATCCATTTTTCTCAAGAGTCGGTTCTGCCTTGCACAACCTTGGGCAATTCTACCTAGTGCAGAGGAAGCTGGAAGAAGCTCGCAACTTCTATGAGGTGATGGAAAAATACATTTGATGAACAATACATGTCTTCTATAATTTGGAAGTTTGATTTGTAAAATTATGTCTTAAGATTAATCTTCTTCACTATTAACATTAATCTTCTTCACTGTTAACATTAATCTTCTTCACTATTAACATTAATCTTCTTCACTATTAACCATAACAACTGGGAAATTAAGTTGTGGACGTATATTGATCTTTAATGACGTTATTTTGGAGTTTACGTTTTAGTTTTAGCATTTCATTTCTTTCTTCTGATAGCACCTTATGTTTTTGCATTTTTCTATTTCCAAAGTATAAGATACTTTAAGTCATTAAGGTGGAATTCTCATATGCGCATGTTGCTTATGAATCTTCTACTTCTCCTTTTGCTTTCTCTAGTGAAATGCCTCCACCATCATAAGTATAGAAATTTATAGCTTTCGCATTGTTGTTAAATGGCTTTTTTTATTCTTATTTTCTGGTACTGATTGCTGACATGTTTCACGTTTTTTTTTTCTTTTCTTTTTTGCTCCTCCCTTTATTGTCTTCTTGGTGATTATCTGGACAGCGTGCTCTGAAGGTATCAGCCATATGTTTACATAATGTGGGCTCCTACGCTGTTATCTTATGATTCTATTTCCCAACGTCATTGAATCTTCTTATGATCATTCAGATAAAGGGTCGTGTTCTGGGACTTAGCCATACAGATTATGCAGATACCATGTATCATCTTGGAATGGTAGTTTCTTAAATCTTCTGTTATTCAACTCTTAGTAACATTGTTGTTTTGTTTTGTTTGGGACTTGGCCATGCAGATTGTGTAGATACTGCAGCATGTTTAGTCTATTCTTCGATTGATTCTGAGGCATTCTCATTTTCATGCTGTTCAAACAAGCTTTCATTTATACACCTTGTACAATGAAATGGAACTTTACCCGCAGGTGCTGTATCTCCAAGGAAAAGAAAAGGACGCGGAGGCCCTTATTCTGGATTCTATCCGAATACTAGAGGTGTGGAGCTATGTGGCTTAGAAATAGCGCTTAATTGCACTTCCAATTTATTGCTTTTGTTGCTGACGGTGCCAAGTGTTTGAGTTTCTAGGAACGCGGCCAAGAGGAATCAATCTTGTACCTCAGGAGATTGCGCTATCTTGCTCAGGTTTTATTGTCTTTAATCGATATCGCTTGGATATATTAGAAATGTTGCTTTTTTTTTTTTTGCTAGGGTGGAAATTCTGTTGACTGTTCGGTGTCAAGAGTGATGATAAGCTAAAACTTGTGAACTGTAAATAAAGAATTGTTCATTATCTCTTGAAACTTGCACTTGAAAGAAAAGTTTTCAGTTGGATAAAAGAATTAGCTCTGATTGTAGCCCTTTTTTCTTCATTGACCTTTTTTGATCTTGAAGAACTCCTTATTTCAATCTATGGTGTTCTTACAAGTCATAGTTTCATTTAAAGGTCAAATAGATTCTATTTTGTCCGAGGATGTTACTTTTTGTGTATGCCTCCAGAAAACCATACTTTTTTCTGCATTTTATTTAGTAACATATTTATATATCTTCTCTTGTATACTGGGACCTGATACTGAGTATAAGTCTTGCCTTACAGTTTAATGGTTAACGTTTTCTTAGATATATTTGAAAACAAATCGCCTTAGGGAGGTCGAGAATATACAGAGAAAGATCCTGCATACGATGGAGTTAACAAAGGTTGAACCATGTGATTTTCTCTTCCATACTTTATTTTTTTTCGAATTTTATGCTTGAAAAATATAGATTTTGCAGCCACAAGAAGTTCTATAATATGATATCACTGCAGAGTTGGATATATAGATGTCAAATAATGCACAAAATTCTTCCCTCATCTTTCATAGAATTTCTTTAAGGAAGGCTTGTCACCACTTTGGACCTGTGTTTGTTTTATATTTTACTTTGATCCTCTATACTAGTGATTTGAGATTTGTTTTCACTATTCAAGATGTTTCTCACACCATAGTTCCTCTTTTAGAAACTTGTTAGTTATTTTAGTAGGGGGGCTTCCAAACTTTTTTAACATTAGAATTAGATTCCTTTTAAGCGTTTTTCAGCTTGGATCTGGCAAATTATTTTCTTTTCCATGTGATATTATTACCTTGACCATTTGCAGTTACCATTCATTATTATTAATTATTTACCTCAGTAATTTTCGTTGAGGTAGGGATGGAGTTCGTTGGAGACGATAAATGCTGCAGAAGGGTTGGCCCTGACCCTACAAGCAGCGGGGAATTTAAAGGAAGCACAAGAGCTTCTTGAAAGGTAAAGCTAAAATAAAACTGGGGATTTTGAGTTTTTCAGATCATTGTTCCTCCTCCTTCTTACTTCTCTTTTTCCCCACCTCAGGTGTCTTGATGCTCGGAAAACATTACTTCCTGATGATCATATTCAGGTTAGCGTTTTCAACAAACGAACTTATAAATATATAGCTATCCTTTTATTCACCATCCTACTCCCAAAAATGTCTTGTTAATGATATCTTTCTCTATTCGTAGATTGGTGAAAACATGCTTCATATTGCTAGGTTGGGAATGCTCAAGGCCAACAGACTAAGAAAGACGGATACTTCTGAAGCAATTGCTGAGCTTGATAGGGCAAAAGATCGTTTAAATGATTCCATAAGGTTTGTTTATTCTTTTGTTATGAGCGACTTTCTTTATGTTTCACTAAAGATTCTTTTATTATACTGGACTTTTAGTTACATAATTAAATAATTAGGGTCGTTTAGTTTGTTGATTCGAGTTGAAATGTGATTTTAGTGCTGAAACTTTGGACACGGCCCGAAAAATCCGATTTTGAGCCCGACGCCTGCGCCCGCCCGCCCAAGCCCGAGAACGCCCATGGATGGGCCGCGGGCCTGGTATATTATATATAATCTACTATTATTTAATAATTATATATAAATAATTATTAAGTTATTTTGTGTTAAAATTATATAAAAATTAAAATCAACACACACTATTAACACAAATACACAATGTAATAAATTAATTTTTAAATTTGTAATTCATGATTGTCTCGTTAAAAATCTTACTAAGAAAAATCCAATTGGGATAAAAACTTGGTAAGGAAAAAAGAGTGCAATCATTTTGTCACGAATTACAAATTTTACAAACTTACAAAGTCTAAATATTACAATTACAATATCGAAAGCAAATACATATTTACAAATTACAATTTAATTTATAGTTGAAGGATCGTCTTCAAAATTAAATGTTAATCTTTTAAATTCATCGATCTATTCTTGACTTGCCGGTGAAATTGTATCATGTAAGCGTTGATCGGCACGATCTCAATCCTTAACGCAGACCAAGGCTTCAATAATGTTCATTTGCAATACGTTTTGGCGTTCCTTAAGTATTCGTCCGGTCGTACTGAAGGCTTGTTCGGATGAAACAGTGGAGACTGAGATCGAAAAAATATTCATTGCCAATCGAGTTAGGACTGGCAAGTTTATGCTCGTGCCCTCCACCATTGAACTATGTCAAACGATTCTCTAGTACCATCGACTACTAAGCTCTCGTTGAGGTACGTCATAAGCTCGTTGAAGTCACCGTCACCACCTGTTGATGAAGATCCACTCCCAGCTTCTATTTGAGTTGTCTTCTTCTTCTTCTTCAACCCGAAAACATTCAAGAATGAATGCGGGTTTTCATCTCATAGTTGCGGTTCTTGTACTCTAGAGTTTGTGTTTCTAAACCTATTCTCTTAAAATACATTTAAAATATAATATTCTCTTATCTAAATCGAATCCTTTAAAGTAATGTCCAGTTACAGCTAAATAATCTTTATTGGCAACGGCATACTAAATATCTGCCGTTAACGTAACGCAATGGCTAGTCGAGTGTAAAAGGTTTATTAATGCTTATTTTTATTTTTTAAATAATTTTAACAAATCTTTCCTAAGAGTAGTTTTTGAAGTGAACTGTGTATTATGATTATGTACAACTTTAATATATCGTTGCCAATTAGGATGCTCTACAAAACAAAGTGGTTGATCTAATGCAGCTATCATTCGCACAACTTCCACACGATCTACTTGCGGATTGTATTTCTAAGTGGTTAGACCACTGATTGTGCGATCAAAAGATAATTGTGTTTGGCGGAGTTTGGCTTTGCCGAACTGGCTAAGCTTTTGAAGACACTTTTCAGAGTGTCTTCTTAAGTGTGTTGTGTTGTGAATAGTGTCATATTGTAATTTAGATAAACAATATTTACACTGAGCTATATGTTTAGTGTTACCGTCATTGTCGATCTCGTCAATTGTGTCAAAGTGATCCCAAACTGTCGAGGTGCGCTTGCATTTCTTCTTGGAGGTTGCAATACTTGCAGACGCAGTAGTACTTGCACTCATTGCTTTTCTACGCTCACCGTCATTGCGACCATGACCTCTAGTACATCCACCACGACTCGGATTAGCAGGTTCCTCAGTTGGTTGTGTTTGCGATTCTTGCGTAATAATTCCATTAGTAGGAAATTGCTCTTCTTTCACACTGTGTTGGGCATCAACAAGAATGCCACCATAAGTAAAAGAATCAATTATAAAAAATAAAAGCAATTTGAGAGAGAGAACTTTAGGATATTGTGATAGCTTTTGATAAAATTATGTGAGAGATTTGAGAGATTGAGAGGGATCGAGAGAGTTTGAGTGAAAAAATTGTGTGGGGAATTAGGGGTATTTATAGGAAAATTTTTGGGCTAAAAAATTAAAAATTTTCCCTAAATTCGGATCCAATTACCATTTTTTTGTCTCGGCGGGTTGGGTTCGGGCCGAAAATCGGGCATGGTAAAAAAAAGAGCCGTAGGAGTCAGGTCGGGTCAGTTGCCAACTGTTAAAAATATAGTTGTTGGTCGGGCTTCGGGCAATTCGAGCAAGTCGGGCCGAAGTGAAAAAATTCAAAAAAATTTCGGCGGACGACGCTTTTTTTTCGACGCTCTCTCGGTGGCGGACGACGGCGATTCATCCATTTTCAGGCAACCCGAGCCCGAAAATGGAACTTGGATGGACGGGTGGCCTTATGGGCCTGCCCTCCGAGCTCAAAAAATTCAGGCTTCGGGTAGGCTTGCCGGCCCAAAGTTCTAGCATTGTGACTTTATGTGAGTTTTTTTACTGTAGTAAAAAAATTAGATGTGACTAGTGGTGAAACTTTAGGCCGGCGGACAGGCCCATAAGGCTGCCTGTCCAAGGAGGAATTTCGGCTGCCCAAATTTAGACGACATCGTCAAAGCCCGCCGCCGAAAGAAGACTCCCTCAACCGCCGAACGCTGGATTTTTTTTTTCCCTCCGGCCTGAATTACCCTAACCCGAAGCCCGGCCAACGGCTAGATTTTTGACTGTTGAAGCCCGACCTGAATTGCCGTCTGAAAGCCCGACTCCAACGGTTCTTTTTTTGACCGTTGCCCGAATTTCAGCCTAAACCCGACCCGCCAAAAATTGAAAGTAGCTGTTTGATCCTCATTTCGGGGAAAAAAATAATTTTTTAACCAAAAAATTTTCCTATAAATACCCCATCATTCCCCACACATTTTTCTCACCCAATTTCTCTCAATCTCTCTCAATCTCTCAAATCCCGTTCACAATTTTTCTAATAACTATCACAAATATCCTAAAACTCTCTCTCTCTCCCTCGAATCACTCTTATTTTTTATAATGGATTCTTTCAGTTATGGTGATATTCATATTGAAGGGTAATTTTCTACTAATGAATTTATTACGCAAGAATCGCAAAGACAACCAACTGAAGAACCTACAAATCTGAGCCGTGGTGGACGTACTGTAGGTCGTGGTCGCAATGGTGGTGGGCGTGGAGGAGAGGCGAGTGCAAGTGCTACTGCGTCTGCAAGTGTTGCAACCTCTAAGAGGAAATGCAAGCGCACCTTGATAGTTTGTGATCACTTCAACATAATTAAGGAGGTCGACAATGACTAAAACACTAAACACATAGCTCAATGTAAATATTGCTATTCTAAATTATAAGGTGACACTATTCACAACACACTTGAGAGGACACTACGAAAAGTGTCTTTAAAAGCGTGGCCAAATTGGCGGAGCTGACCTCCGCCAAACACAATTATCTTTTGATCGCACAATCGGTGGTCTAACCATTTGGAAATATGATCCGCAAGTAGATCGTATGGAAGTTGCGTGAATGATAGATGCATTAGATCAACCATTTAGTTTTGTAAAGCATCGTAATTGGCAGCGATATATTAAAGTTGTACACAATCTTAATGCACAGTTTTTTTCAAAAACTACTCTTAGGAAAGATTTGTTAAAATTATTTAAACAAGAAAAAGAAGCATTAATAAACATTTTACACTCTACTAGCGGTTGCGTTGCGTTAACGGCATACATTTGGTATACTGTTGCCAACAAAGATTATTTATCTATAACCGGACATTACTTTAAAGGCTTCGATTTAGATAAGAGAATATTAGGTTTTAAATGTGTTTTATGATCACATAGCGCTGATTTAATATATAATATAATTTTAAATAAAATTGATGAATATAGATTAAGATATAAAGTGATGGCTATAACACTAGATAATGCTAGTGTAAATATTAAAGCAATTGAATATTTTGAAAATGATTTAAGTTTCTTCGGTGATGGTACTATTTTTCACCAACGTTTTGCGTACCATGTAATTAATTTAGTAGTTAAATCTGGTTTAAAATCAATGGTTGCTAACATTAAAAGAATTATAGATAGTATTGCATGGATTCAAGGTAGTAATCAAAGAGAACAATATTGGTTTAGGTTCTTACAAGTATTAAATCTAACTCCTAGAGCGTTAGCCCTAGATATGCCTGTAAGATGGAACTCATCTTATATAATGCTTCAACAATGCCTCCCCTATAAATATGCTATAACAAACTATATCAGTGCAAAATTAGGAGTAGGACATATAAATTTATATGATTAGCGAATTGTTAAAACTTTGTATTAAGTTTTAGGTAGGTTTCATGAAGTTACTTTAAAACTTAGTGTAACATATTACCCAACATCACCTTTAACTTTAGGTAAACTTTTTAGAATTAGTATTTTATTTAGTGAATTTAGGGCGGACCCAATTCTAGGAGTTCCTATCGCTTTTATGGAAAAGAAATTTAAAAAATATTGGTATAAATTACCAATATTTTATGGTTTCGGTACTATTTTTATCTTAGATTAAAATTAGACTGTTTAGAAAACTTAGGTGAATTTTTAGGTATCAATTGTTCTGACCAATTTCTGACAATAAAGGCAAAAATATTCTCTCTATAGTAAATATGAAAATAGGTTTAAAAACACAAACTATGGAGTACAGGAACCGTAACAAAGAGATGAAAACCCGCATTCATTCATAAATGTTGAAGAAGAAGACGACTCAAACAGAAGCTGAAAGTGGATCTTCATCAATAGGTAGCGACGGCAGGGGCTTCAACGAGCTTAGTAAGAGCTTAGTAGTTGACGGTAGTAGAGATTTGTTCAATTTAGTTCAATGGTGGAGGACACGAGCATTAACTTGGCCAATCCTAACTCGAATGACAATGTATATTTTTTTGATCACAGTCTCCACTGTTTCATCCGAACATGACCGGACGAATACTTGAGGAACGCTAAAACGCATTGCAAATGGACATTGTTGAAGCCTTGGTCTGCATTAAGGATTGGGATCGTGCCGATCAACGACATTTAATTTTGAAGACAATCTTTCGGCTTCAAATTAAATTGTAATTTGTAAATATGTATTTATTTTCAACATTGTAATTGTGTATTTAGACTTTGTAAAATTTGTAATTCATAACAAAATGATTGCACTCTTTTTTCCTTACCAAGTTTTTATCCTAATTGGATTTTTCTTGGTAAGGTTTTTAATGAGACAATAATGAATTACGAATTTAAAAATTAATATACAAAATTAATTTATTAAATTGTGTTAATAATGTGTGTTGAATGTTGATTTTAATTTTTATATAATTTTAACACAAAATAACTTAATAATTATTTATATACAAATGCAATTACTAAATAATAGTATATAACATAAAAAAATATATATATAGCCAAAACAAGGCTCGCGGCCCATCCACGGGCCTTCTCAGGCTCGGGTGGGCGGCTTGAAAAATTCGGGTGGGTCGAGTCGGGCTCAAAATCGATTTTTTTGGGCGGGCGGTCCGTCTAAAGTTTTCTGAGTGCTTTTTACTGTAATAAAACTTAAATCGGTGAAATAAACGGGGGCTTAGTTAATTAATTACTAATGTTTATTAACTAATCTATTATTTGATATATCATATGATCAATTTTTGGTAATTTTTCTTTTTATAATGATTATTACTAATTATCAATTATTAATTATTATTGATTAGTATATTACATATTAATAATTATAGTTTAATATTAATTATTAATTGAATAATTATTATTTATTTTTATTTACCAACTATTTACTAATTAATAGATTATAATTAACATAATATATGATTGATATATTAATTATTTATTTAATAACCTATTATGTTAATATGTTATATAATTAATTTTTGGCAATTAATCTTTAACTAAATAATTAATTACTATATTATTTATTATTTTATTAATAAAATTAAAACTTAATAGTAATAAATTAATATTTAATTAATAATTAAGTAATTACTATCTATTTATTAGTTATTAAGTATATGTATTTATTAATTATTTAATATAACTTTGTTGATAAGTAGTAGAAAATGAAAGCAGAAAAGAAAAAATAACTTTAAATTGTTTTTTACTTTTTTCACAAAAATCATTCTCATTGTTTTTTTAGACCGTTTTCATTTTTGTGTCTTAAAAGACGTGTAGAAATGTTTTTGAAAATAATTCCAAACGCACCCAAAGATTTTGTTAATAGAATGAAAAGTACAAAGAGGAGAAAAGGACAAGCTTTCTTCCACAAATGAAAAAAAAAAAAAAAAAAAACACGAAAGGATTAAATTCATAAATTTCTCCTAATCTATGTACTCTAATTCCCCCAAATTTTAAAAAAGGTTCATTTTGCCCTCTAAATAAATATTAAATACAAACCAGTTAAATTCGTAGAATAAAGAATACTTGATGCCAATAAGCCCACGAGGGTTGGGTGCATAAGCCCCACACCGTAGCAATACTTGTTACTGAGCAATTGGAAGATATTCTAATGTCGACGGTAACATTTCAGAATGTTTTGTTTCTCTTTTTTCATTTCTTTTTCCTCCCTATTTCTACACCTTTCTTTTAATCATATGTGAAACTTAAAAAAAAAAATAATAATAATAATAATAATTAATAATTTGAAAGTGTCATAATTTGATTCAAGATATTTTTTTATTGGAATTCATTTTTCTGTTGCATAAAATCTTAGAATAATTATCTTTTCCATGTAGGATTGCACAAATTTTTTTGGATAAATTGATGAAACAAAGGGGGAAGAGGCAAAGTGAATCCGAAGGAGCTAAAAAGAATGGACGTGAAGCATTAGTCATACTGGTCAGTTTCTCTGTTGTTTCAAAAGAATTTAACAATTATGATAATTCTTTTATTTGCTATATAAATATCTTAATATCAGACTCAAAATATGTAAAATACACGTAGTAGGTGTCGCCACTCTCAAGCAAAGCTGATGTAGGACCGAGATAAAAAGTAGAACCAATATGAGAAATGGAATCACTATGGGGAGAGATAAAACCAAAAGAGAGAAACGGAGGATTCTAGAGGGAGAACAAGAACTTAAGAGGAGTAAAAACTAAGACAACTATGGTATTTGTATCATACTACAATAAGATAACTTAAACTAAATTCTAAATTCTAAAAAAAAAAAAATTAAGCGCTAAAGATAAAACATATCCTATTAGAGAACTATACAATTTGAATTTTTATTGACCTAGTCTGGTTCTTCATCAATAGCACCTAACATTTAGATAGTCAGCAGTTTGAAGAATGCGATGTGTGTGTGTGCATGTGTTATATGTAGTTGCCTGTTTTTCTAGTATATAACAGAATATTTTAAGTGACTCTGTTCTGTACCTTTTCCAATGTTGGTTTCTTTAGACGAGTATTTCTTCAATAGAATAAACGCTGGAAAAACAGATGCCAATTTACCGCATGTTTCTGTGGAGCTAAATCTGGCTATTGAGAGCATCTAAAGAAAGCGAAACAATCATCAATTTATCGAGCTAGCAATTCCTGCATCATAGTGCTTGTGACGTTCCCATGCTAAGTTGGATTTATCCATTGTTTGCAGTTGCAATCATTTGACGCCCTTGGGTTCTTGGAGATAACAAAGAAAGAGTTACGGGAGTTGACGGTTAGAATTCAAATCTTCTAATGCTTCATTTGAATATTTGTTTTTAACTTTTCTATGGAAAAACAAGTTCAAAGATTTTCAAGTTCCAAAGATCTGTTATCGACACTTTTGAGCCTGCAGCATCTGCAAATAAGACGCTTTTCTGCTTACACCACTTTTATTTTCCAAACGACTCTGTGTCTATGATTATTTTCTTCTGACTAGCTGACTAACTGGTACGTTTCCATTATGTAGCAGGATGGGCATTCATCTGTTGTTGAGGCTGAAAATGCACTGTTAAGATGCATTTCTGCTTACAAAAGAGTAAATCTTTTCCCCATCTTTTACTAAATCAGGTTCTTTCGAAACAATGATCGACACCATCCAGGATAGTCATGATGTTTTTTCCTCTCTTTGATAAAAAGACTAGGTCACTCCAGTTATAGACTACCGTAAAAGCTTTATCTCCGTGTTATATATTGATTTCGGACTAGTTTTCGATCCATTTGTGTTTATTATTACCATTCAGCAAGGCTTTGTGGGACCTTAAGCACAGAATCTACATTGCTTAATTGTTTTTAGTCTGGGCAGTAGAAATGATTTCTCAAGTGTACATGAAATTGCCTTTTGATTTCTTGTGTAAATCAATTACTTGAAGTAATTCAGCAAAGCTTAATTGTCTTGTATTCTACACTCATTGGCAAGTCAGTTTATATGTAATCATCCAAAGTTTGCATTACATATATGATACACACACACACACACACACATATATATCTTTCTATATATATTTCTCAGTATTTTCAATAGAAATTACAACACACATAATGGATTGTTTTCTTTTCTTTCCCCAACATTTTCAAAGAAAACAGAAAAAACGTTTGTAATATTTTGTCATCCTTGGCATCTTATTCATCTTTTTTCATTTGCTGAAGAGGGATCACACTTTTTGGTTACGTTGCTTTGCAGTTTGGGACTGAGAGGTCAATTTCCGATGCTCGCGAGGTTAAGGCGGAGTATCTTTCATGTCTGAAGCATCTCGCAAGCTTGATAAGCGACAATGCTACTGATAGGACACAGCAATCTAGAGGAATCAATCTGCAGGACATCAATGAAGAAATAAAGCGTCTCGAAGCTGAAGTTTCTCCTCGTAGGAAAAGAAATTGAGCTGGTTGCTGAATTTTTGTTGCACTGGCAGTGACCGCAAGACAAATTTTGTGATTATTTATGAATAAGAATTGAAGCAGGAATCAATAATCACCCTCTCAGCAATGTGTGCGTTGCAAAAAAAAAAAAGGAAAAAAAAAACCCCCCTTTTTTTTTTTTTTTTTTTTTTTTTTTTTTTTTTTGTCCTTGCCAATTATTTTGTCTATTTCTGAAGTGAGGGAATTCTTTGTTGATGAGGCACATTGTCCATAATCCTGCTATTAGAGAGGTAAGGTTTTGTACACATGTTGGGTGCATGGATGTTTTATTGGTTAATGAAACTTCATAGCCAGAGGTCATGTTTGAATTATTGTGCTCGTAAGGAATATGAAAAATGTGTGAGGGAGAATATATCAATTTCCAATAGAGTTATTTTCTTTTAAGAATTCTACAATAGAATATAGAAAAACAAAAATACCTTTACCTTTTTTTGTCATCCCTATAATTCTGTTTTTTTTTTTTTTTTTAAGTCTTTCCGGTAACACTTTCCTACCAAAAATAACTTCATTTTAAAAAATTATATAAAATAGACCGTTTTTATTATAAATTTGACAGCTGAAAATATAATTATTTTCTGTAGTTATTTTTTTAAGTACCAGCTGCTAGAGAATTTCTTTTTAACAGAGAAAACAGCGACGTTGTTAGTTAACTGTTATCTGTAGTGGTGATGAGGAAGAGAATTGCATTGCATTAACAAGAAACACATCAAATCCAATCAAACATGTTAACCATCCTCAAGAAACTCAAACTAACCTCAACAACTCCGAATCCCTCACTCTCTCTCCCTCTCCTCTCCAACGCCTCCCTCTCTCTCTCCTCCTCCACCACCACCCCCTGGCACGCCCCTCCTCCCTCTCTCTCTCCTCCACACTATGAGGAAGATGGGGTGGACCCCACACTCCGCCTCTCCATCTCCTCCGCCATCGCCAACTCCCACGCCACTCCTCTCGACTCCTCCCTCAAACCCCACCTCTCTTCTCTCACTCCTCGTCTCCTTATCTCTCTCCTCGCCACTAATCCACTCTCTCTCTCTCCTCAGTCTCTCCTCTCCTTCTTCCACTGGCTCCCCTCCTCCTCCCCCTCCTTCCGCCACACTCCCCACTCCTACTCCGCCATGGCCCACTTCCTCCGGGCCCACCGCATGGGCCCCGATGCCCAATCCCTCCTCAACTTCCTCGTCTCCCGCAAGGGGAAGCACTCGGCGGCGTCACTCTTCGCCGCCGTCGAAGCAACCGGAGGTAGGTATAACAACGCCCACCCTCTGTTTGATTATTTGATTATCGCTTATACCGATTGTGGATTTCTCTCCGACGCCATTCAGTGCTTTAGATTGCTGGTGAGAAAGCGTAATTTGAATTCTCATTTCCCGTTTCGTGGGTGTGGGTATTTGTTTGATAAAATGTTGAAGTCGAACTCGCCTTGGGCTGTTTGGCTTTTTTTCTCGGAGATTTTGGATTATGGGTATCCTCCAAAAGTGTATAATTTCAATGTTTTGATGAACAGATTTTGCAAAGAAGGTAGAATTGAGGGTGCCCAGATGGTGTTCGATGAAATTACTAAGAGAGGTTTGCGCCCGAGTGTCGTTAGCTTTAATACTTTGATCAATGGGTATTGTAAGTCTGGGAATTTGGAGGAGGGTTTTAGGTTGAAGAGGGTTATGGAGGAGAGTCGGATGTGGGCCCCTGATGTTTTTACTTACAGTGCTTTGATAAGTGGGTTGTGTAAGGAGTGCAAGTCGGACAATGCGCGTAAGCTGTTCGATGAAATGTGCGAGAGAGGTTTGGTTCCGAATGGTGTTACCGTCACTGCCTTGCTCGATGGGCAGTGCAAGAGTGGGAGAGTTGATAAGGCCATGGAGATGTATTGGATGATGTTGAAGAAAGGCATTGAGCCGGATTTAGTTATGTACAATGCGCTTGTGAACGGACTTTGCAGGATTGGAGATTTGAGTGAAGCTAGGAAACTTGTAGATGAGATGAGAATAAGAGGCTTGAAGCCGGATAAGATTACTTACACCACGCTTATTGATGGATGCTTCAAAGAGGGAGACATGGAATTGGCTATGGAAATTAAAAAGGCAATGGTGAAGGAAGGCGTTGAGCTTGATAGTGTAGCTTTCACGGCCCTTGTTTCAGGGTTATGTAGGGAGGGAAGGATCGTGGATGCAGAGAGGACGATGAGGGAGATGTTGAGTGCTGGCATGAAACCTGATGACGCCACATATACCATGGTTATCGATGCGTTTTGTAAGTCGGGGGATGTAAAGATGGGATTTAAGTTGCTGAACGAGATGCAGAGAGACAGTCGCGTGCCTAATATTGCGACCTATAATGCGCTTATGAACGGGTTGTGCAAGAAAGGACAGATGAGAAATGCTGATATGCTCTTAGATGCTATGCTTAATGTGGGTGTGATTCCCGACGACATTACATACAATATTCTTCTGGAAGGACATTGCAAGCATGGGAACCGAGCCGATTTTGATAAATTACGAAGGGAGAGAGGGCTTGTTTCAGATTACGCTTCATATGCGTCGCTCGTCGGTAAATCAAGTAAATCTTCAAAGGATCGCCAGAAGAGATGATTGCACCTTGAGATGAAATTTGGCGGTAAATTCACATCCCTGTATTCATTCAAATGAGTCAGAGAAAGAAGAAAGGGTATTCGGTGACATTTTTGTTGGTTACGGAGGAGCTCTTGACGCAATGCTTTGCCAATGGACAAGCAAAACCGAAATCAGTTTCAAGCTTTAAGTAAATAAATTTTGGGTCATTTTAGACTTGCTTTTGCTCCAATTAGGTTTATTTTAGAAATGAGATGCAAAATTTGTATATTCTTCTCCCTTATTCAGATTCTGGCTTATTACTTGAATAAACATCTCCGGAAACTGCTTTTAATAGCCTTCAGTAAATGATGGAAGATCAGTGGGAGCAAGGATGAATGCCAAATCTCTTGCAGTTAAGAATGGATAAAAAAATGAAATCCAGCGGTGGAGACCACCAAGTAAATGATGGTAGATTATAGCCGGCAGCGGGACATTTTGTACGTCATTTCAGATGGAAGCACAGAAATTATTGTTCACGATAAAAAATAAATAAATAAATAAATGATGAATCACAAATGGGCTTTAAAAAATTGAGGGGAAGAAATAAATTTTTATACTGACTAATTTTGCGCCGACTCATAAAAAAAAGAGAGAAAGGGGGATTCAAAAAAAAAAAAATGCACGTTTTAATGGAACGTGGAGCAAAACGTGGTACAGAATGTGGTGCAAAACGAACGTGTATTCTTATATAAAGGAAACGAGTGCAGGAAGAAAAAAAAAAGATTTGGCGTGAGTGCAGAAGAGGAGATTAAAAAAAACAAAAAAAACGTTTGTTAAGGTGTGTGCAAGTGTTGTGGGGAAGCGTGAGAGAAAAAAACAAAAAAAAAACTGTGTGCAGTGGTGTGAAAACGTGAAAGAAAGAAAAAAAAAACAAAAGGTGCAGGTGTGTGCAGGAAAGTGCAAAGAAATGGAAAAAATATATATATATCCGTGATATTTCAAAATAACAAGGTAATTATTTTGATATTTTGAATTTTTTTTTTCACTAACAGTTTTAGTTTTCCGTGTTATTAAACAGATACATCACGTTTAAATCGAGTCTTATATACACTTTAAAGTGTATGATTGCAATTTACTCCTTAACACTCTCCACGAAGATAAATTTCATATACGCCTTACGGTGTGAGATTTCTTATTTGCAGCTCTTAATAAATTCCTAATGTACTCATGGTGTGTGGTTTCTTGTTCTTATCATAATCCTATGATTATCACCAAGACTTAGATTTCTTTTTAGAGATCTATATAAGTTAAATGTGATTTCAAAAAAATCAAGGATTAAAATTCTCCCAAATTATTTGGTACGATTGTTTTGAGTGCAATTCGAGTAAAAAAGCTTATACGAATTACACTTCAAAAATCGACATATGAGAAATTATGTGCATATGATCCATATGAAAATATTCATATTAATCGCACAATACCCACCGAAAAGTAATCAAACAATGAAGATTTTTTTAAAAAAAAAAAAAAGAAAAGAAAAGGAGAGCAAACAATCGTCACTTGCATCTCTTTCTCAATACCTTCACAAACATATATATATATAAAAGCTCTAATGCTTGCTATAACGCTTACTGTGAAGAAGCTTATATATATATATATATAAACCGAAAGTTTACTGATGTTTGCAGTGCAGAAGCCGAAAGTTTCTGCACTCCAAACATCAGTGAACTTTCGGCTTCTGCACTGCAAATATTAGTGAACTTTCAGTTTATATATATATATATATATATATATATGAAAGAAAAAAATAAAAGTTCACGGATTTTGCAGTGCAGAAGTAATGTGATTGCAAGTTATACTTATTGTAACTTGCTATATGTCTATATATATATATATATATATATATCAACTAAGTGAAGCGACAGAAGGACTTCGATTCCTTTTGAAATTAGAAAATCAAAACAAATCAAATCATAACAAATCCAATCCAAATGGTAGATTTGATTTTGAATTTTGAAATTCAAAAAAAAAAAGGAGAAAGATAATAAATTTCAAAATAAATTCAGAATATTAAATACCACAAAATTTAAAGTGCACAAATTGGGCCCCCCCTATGGTTCCTAAGTCTAAAAAGATGAGTCAATTGTCTCATAAAACCATATGGTGATTAAATACAATTTTCAAATCCCAAATTCAAATAAAAAAATCTCAACACCAAATTCAAAAAGGATCCTTTTAATTCCTCACAAGGTCATATACCGGGGAATTATCTAAATACAACTTTCAAATCCAAACTCTGAAGTAAAATTCCAAATCGAATTTTAAAACATCTTTGAATTCCTGTTATGGGCATATATCGGGAAATTCTTCAAAATCTAAATTCAAAACTCAAGAACTACGATTGACTTGATTCCCTATAGGATACGTAGGCAACCTAAAAATTTAGGTGCAGTTTCAAGATCAAATTCGATCCTAAATTCCTCCTATGGTCATATGTCGAGGAATTCTCCAAAATCTAAATTCAAATTCAAGAACTACGATTGACTTGATTCCCTATGAGATACGTAGGCAACCTAAAATTTAGGTGCAGTTTCAAGATTAAATTCAATCCTAAAAATCCTCATAATAGACAAAATCAAAACAAAACTAAATCAAATGTCAAAGTGCGTCGATTCCTCATAAGGTCATACACCGAGGAATTATCTAAAATTTTCAAACCCAAAATTTGAACTACAAGTGGCTTGATCTCTTAACGGGGTATGTGGGCAACTCGATAAAATTCACTGAGTTCAGCCGCAATTTTAAATCAACCCAAATTTTCCAAATTCACAGAAAATAGAATTTACTGTTTTAATTGGAATCAAAAGGTTTTCCCTTGTACCAAGGGATTGTAATTAAGAGGTTATTCTTATAATCTTGAATGGGTCGAACTAAAAATAATAAACTCCTATAGGTAAAATTATGTTGTGTGAAATATTATTTCAACATTAATAAATATTTTCACTCAACATAGTTTTTGACACTCCCAGTAGGACACATTCTCCATTTCATCCCCGGTTATAATGGTAATATTTTATTATAATAATCATTTAAATATAACCGTTTGTGTTATTCTATTTTGTAGAATGGCACCACAAGTTATTGTGTACTTCCATCTATAAGGATTGTTGGGGAGCAAAATTAGGTAGGATTTAAGACAACCTTCGCAATCACTGGGGCACCTGCTGTTGTCATGGTGCCAAAAGTTCTTGAGGTTTCCAAAGCGAAGCAATCTTTGAAGGCTATTTGCGGTAAGGCTGCCAAAGGATTGAAGAAGAGGCAAGCAAGGTCTGCCAAAAGAAAGTTTAAGCAGGCTGTGAAGACCGTAGCTGTTCTCCTTCTGAAGATCGCTAAGAATGCGAAGGTCAAAATAGTCAAGACTGTCAAGACTTGTCTTGCAGAAGGCGTTAAGATCACAGATCAACAACCAGTTCAAATTATGGTTGGTTCGATCCCCATTGACATCAGTACAGTAGAATCTGTTCTGATGACCAGTGCTGAAGACATATCTACTCCAGCTTCTCCGATAATAAAAGAGGTGGACATCTTCACTATATCACCAAATGTTTCAAAGACTCTCGAAAAGAGTGTACAAAAAGGGAAAGTGAAGGCAATAGTTAGTGACAGAAATCAAATAGGCTTGGTCACTCAACTTGGAGAAAACTCAGTGAAGAAAGTTAGAAGTGGTAGACTGAGAATGCCACGAGTGAATCTTGGGCCATTATTCAACAATGAAAACCAAGAGCGAGATGACGAAGGGTTGACCATTATGACCAAGAATTGTCCAACGACAGAGCTTACTGTCAACAATGAAATGGAGAGAAATGCATTGGTACCATATAGGGGACCAATCACACGATCAAAGGCACGTTGTATGCATGATTCTTCTGGTCCTCAAACAATTAGAGATACACCTCTAATAGGCCAATTGGAAGTGTCAACTGTTGATGACGATATAGAATCAAGAAATATGCCAGTTTTAGTTACTGGAACGACAAGCATGGAGGAGCAAGGTGAGCAAATCTGAGAATTGAGAAGGATGCTTGCCGAGAAGGAGGCTGAAGTCGCGAGACTCTCTGTACATTTGCAAGAAAATGTGGGTATGGGTCAAGCATCTGGACTAGGACAGACATCTGCATCCCCAATACCCCAACTAGGCTTGAGAACTGAGACAAGACAACCGGCGGATCCAATACCACAGCCAGACTTAAGGACATTGATTATGGATAGAATACGAGAATATCAAGCTGCTATGTGTATGCCGGTATTAGGATACCGAAAGCCTTACCCGGCACATTATGATCAAATCCCTTTCCCTCGATATTATGTAAGGCCAAATTTTAAAAAATTCGATGGGATAAATGGGTCTCCACATGAACATCTGGCATACTATACCTCGGCATGCGGCAAGACTGCTCAATCAGATGCACTATTGATTAGATAGTTCATGCAATCTCTAAAAGGAACAGCATTCACGTGGTACACACAACTTCCTCCAGGTTCCATTATTACGTGGGATGACATGCAAAAAGCATTCTTAGCCCAATTTGTCTCCTAAAAAAAGAAAGTAACAATCACAGATTTAGTGGAAACTAAGCAAAGACCGGGAGAAAGTGTAAATGACTTTATCACTAGATGGAGGAATCTTAACCTCCAATGCCCGGAAAAATTGACAGAGATTTCTGCAGTTTCCATGTGTGCTAATAATCTCATGCCAAAAGTGGCTACCTTTATTGGAACTGTGGAACCACAATCTTTTAATGAATTGGTTTCAAAGGCGAGCGTGGTTGAAAGGCAAATAGCTCGTCAGAAGGGTTCCAGGATAAGGTCTCGCCCAGAAAAGAGGAAAGTTGAAAATAAAAGGCCATTAAGAAAGACCGAAACAATGGCTACCTTTGTTAAGAATGATAAAAACTAAAACAAACGAAAAGCAAGAGAAGAGTCAAAGAAACTCACTCTTAAGGAAAGAAAGGAGGTTAAATATGCTTTTGATGATGAGGATGTGGAGCAAATTTTTGATGAATTACTTGCTGCAAAAGCAATAAAACTCCCTGAGCCGAAAAGGCCAAATGAGGTTCATAAGACCGATGATCCTAATTATTACCGATACCATCGCATCATCAGTCATTCCTTAAAGGATTGTTATGTCCTGAAGAATATAACAAAGGAATGATCAAAAGAAAGGAAATAGAAATGGATTCTTCGTGTCCAAAAGTAACATCAAATACCGTCTCATTAGTAGAGGATGACCGTTTACCGGTGAATACCCTACAAAAAGGCGTCATCCCAGTAGCCTTTGAAATAAACGATGAGGTAAAGGCTGTCAGCATATATCCTGAGACACTCATTCCAAGTAA